CTGAAGAAATCTATTATTTCTAGGAACTATTGAAAAGTCTTGTAGTATTTTTTGTGACTAATGATAATAACTAAAATGAAGCAATATATTCATGATAATAATCCTGTTTATCTTTTACTAGATGCATATTTTAAATATTTATTTCTAATAAATGCTACAGTACTTTTTCTCTTGAACAGAAGGCTTTTAAGTCTCTTTAATACAGCCTACAGAACATAATCAAGTCACAAGAACTACAGTACAGGCTGGCATAAAACAGCAGATACTTCAAAAAAATTGACTGAAGCAGTGTGTGACATTACAACTGATTCCTAAGTACCAGGCAGAGGAGAGGGGACCAGGAAGGGAGATTTTACTTAGCACAATGCAAAGTAAGCTAGTATCTGCACAACATACACAACATAATACAAAATGCTGAGCACCCAGCAGCTTCAAAACTAGCCATATATTCATGATACAAAACATAACAAGGATGCTAATAAAAGCAAGCCTGTTATATGTGTTACTAAATAAAATTAATTACAAATGCATTTCAGCTAATGTAAATTTCTGCTAGTTTTCAAAGTAATATGACTGGAGTAACATAAATACTGGATGTGTATATGCTTGCTGTACATTTACACAGAGTAGGGATCTAGGAACACCACTTCCAATATATTTGCATGAAGCTAATTTTTTTAAAACTAGGATTTAGTATTAAATTTAAAAACACAAGTTACATTTAAAAAGTTGGGAAGCTGTCAGTGTATCACTGATTTCACTATCAATCTGAAACGTACAGTTAATCAAGTGGCAGTGTCCTCATAATTTGAAACTCTGTCTTTCCAATGAACAAGAATATTTAGTATACTTTAAATAAAACACTGCACTTTTTTAACTATCTGTCTGCATTCTGTAGCAGTTAGATTTAAATGCTACATTCTAACAAATTTATCGGCAATTCTGTTACAGAAAATTTCAGATGAAAAACAAATAAGTTTTGGTCAAAATGCCCCAGAATCTGGAGTCATCACACTGTACCTGTATCTTCTGGCATTCCAGCACTAATTCAGTCCTATGCATCAGTGACACAAGAAATGCTGCCAGACATCATCACTCCAATTACCTATAATCTGCACGAAGTATAGCCAAAGAGGCTGTTGAACAAGTGAATTTGAAGCTACTGCAGTAGAGAAGTGAAACTGCAGCAGTGCTCTGTCATTGGAGCTCCCTCCTAATAGAAATGTGGCAAGGGTCATATGACTCCTGCAGCACCCACGCATATATGGGAGTATAGCCAAGATCTTACTGCCATGTAAAAATAGAACCCTACAGAAGTCTCAAAAGTCTTATATTTACAGAGCATCTAACACAGAGCGGTCACCTATGGGCACGTATACAAGAAAACAGGAAGATGTGCATTATGCAAATAATATCACTACCTGTATTTACAAATATTTCTCTCTAGAGGAGATAAAAAAGGTCAATGAGTTCTCATAACAACAGACCAGTATTAACAACAAAAAGCCAAGAGACTCTCCTCTCAAACTTCCTTACAGTGGGTGCATCTACATGTGCAATTAAGGCAAAGCAATAAACTCTGAAGCATCTTGTGATTGAGTACACTGCTCCCAGGCACAGCGTCTACACATGCGACTAGGAAAGCAGCACTTTGAACCAGGGTACAGCAGGCCCAGGCTGCCAACAGCAAGAGTGCCAAGCATGTGGAGCTATGTGGCTAGGTGGTATGCAGGGGTTTGACCCCCTGCTTCCTGGGCTGATCAAAAGCAATTTATGCCCAATGCTAACATTTTCACTTTGCCATGTTCCTGACAATACGGCTCATGTGTAGGTGGTGACACTTTATTGCGGAGCTAATTAGTCTACTCCACAGTAAAGCACATGTGTAAATGTAGTTTCATAGTTTCATAGTTTCTAGGGTCGGAAGGGACCTGAGTAGATCATCAAGTCCGACCCCCTGCCATGGCAGGAAAGAGTACTGGGGTCAAATGACCCCAGCAAGGTGTTCATCTAGCCTCCTCTTACAAA